GACAAGCAGGTTAACTCAGAGCTAACGCATCTGGGCGTTATGCGTACATATTTTGGAATACCTTCAGTGAATTTAACGGATACAAGTAATTATAAACCCTATAATTTCAAAACCAAATTACATTAATTGACTAAAGAACATATCGAATATTATAGGTATATTTGTCGATCCATTTTTACATCGGGGTTCAAACTTAACAGAACAGAAAGTTTATTTGGCGATGGACTGGGTCAAATGTAAGTTAGAATGTGACAGAGAGATTAAAATTCTCCGAATGTTGTAAAAGTAAGTTTTTGGAACAGCAGACAGGAACTTTATTTATTATTATTTAGTGTTCTGTCTGACGACAGGTCCATATGAACAGGATCCTTCCATCCTTTTCTCGGACTGGGACCTGTTCATATACGTTATTGGCAGATGATCCAGAAGTGGTTTGCCATTGCCTTCTTCTGTGTGTGAATGGAGTAATTGTTGGGATGCCACGGAGAAGCCGGGGAAGCCCCCGGAAGAAAACTCCGTGTTGCCTAGACCACGGTCTTGCCCAACACAAGTTATAAATTCGGGCACCGCCGGGAATCGAACCCGAGACCCCCAGGATTACAAGGCCAGCGTTCTAACCGCTAGACCACCTCATCTTATTATTATTTAGTGTTCTGTCTGACGACAGGTCCATATGAACAGGATCCTTCCATCCTTTTCTCATATACGTTCTTGGCAGATGATCCAGAAGTGGGTTGCCATTGCCTTCTTCTGTGTGTGAAGGGAGTAATTGTTGGGAAGGAACTTCAAAACATCTTCTCCACATTGTTATAAACGGCTGAAAAATGTGACTGCTCTCAGTGCAGAACAGTCACAAGTGCCATGTGTGAGTAGCATTAATATTCAATTGAGTGTCGAAGCCATCTTGCTAATTTATTCAATTACTATTGTATTGTACTATCGTAAATGTTGAAAGAAATTAACATTTTTGATACTAAACTGTAATTAAATTTATTCCAACAGTATATTTGCAAATAGTACTGAAAGTATTAAACTCATAACCGTGACGAACATTGGTTAAATGTCGGAATTTCGTACGAAAATTTAAAATTTTGTCACGTCCTGGCTAATAATATAATGTAATATAATATAAACGAAATGTAATGTGATGTAATGTAATATAAAATACATTAACAACAAAGTAACACATCGCAGACGGAAGGATAGGTATTAACGTTTTCAAATTTACAGACGAGAAAAGCAATAATGTTATTAACAACCATTAGAGTTCAAAAGCCTTCATGTCGACTGTCGTGCGGGCGTTTGAAATGAGAGAGTTCGTCTCATCCATTGTTGTGAACGTTTAGGGCAGATTGCATTGGACAGGAACACAATAGAAGCTGACATTACCACTGACCTCTGGGGCTTTTGTTGTAATGCGGCATTACCACATCAAGTCCTCTCGCTATTATTATTAACTCACGTTCCACAGCGAAGGGCACACAAACCCTTGAAAGCCCAGTGGTAATTATATATTCCACCTGCTCTGAATTTTCCACACAGAATATATTTGTATGTACCGTATGATTCTAAACTTAAACAGCGTTAACCAGTTGATCTTTTAAACGGTGAAGTGTGGTGTTTTCTTCGCGGTACGGACTGAATTCTTAAGTTTCATTTGAAAGAGCTTCGGCTCCAAAGGTTAATTAGCGTTTTTGTCGTATTATTTCCTTAAACAGCGTTAACCAGTTGATCTTCGTAATGGTGAAGTGTAGTGTTTTCTTCGCGGTACGGACTGAATTCTTATATAATATTCATATGGGCTTCGGGCTTCCACGTTGCTTTGCAGCCCTCCCAGTGTTAACATCAAAATTCTGCTCTATAGTAACCCCCCCCCCCATATTAACGTAAATCTTTTTCCAAACGCCGCCCCTCCAAGGCCAATATCAAAATTCAAAATTAACGCAAAGACTCTGATCAACCTCGCCATTTCTGTGCTTTAAAAAGTTTAAAGCTGAAAATTTCATAAAGGAAGTTACAATTTAATAAATCCTGGAGAAATCATTTGAATAACTTTTCTGGTGCAGTGAATGATTTGTTGAGTTTCTGATATTAGCCATTATTACGACAGCCAGCGAAGAAGGAGGCTGTCCTGGTGGATGTGTTGACCTCAGGTCTTTGCTGACTCTCGTGGCCATTTCAAACCTATCTTTCGCCTCTCTGTTTCCGTTCTGTTGTCTCTCTGATGGACGCGCGTACCGGAAATGCAGCTTTGGCAATCCATTTACCTGTTACGTCTCTGTTGGTTATCGCTCTCTGCCTTAAATTTCTTATTCTCTTGTTGCATCCAATTTCAAAATCGTGTTCCATTAAACTTACTCGACCTTTTCCGGTTCTTTTCGAAGCTTCCAACGCAGTTCCCCCTCTTCGTTTCAGTAATTCATTTAAATTCGTAAATAAAGTTTGGTGAAAAGTAGGCGTACTTCGGTCTGAAAAGGGGATGTTAATGGAACGGATTACACTCCGTGCATTAGCGTGCACAGACGACAGGCAGTGAAGAGGAGTTAGCATTTTTATTCGGTCACGACAAGATCTGTCAGAGCGACGTGCACACCAAAATTCGGTGTGAACTTTGCAGAAATTTAACTTCTGCTGTAACACGATAAATGTCTGTTGTATTTTGAGAATATTTGAGAACGAGGGTAAAAAAAAAGAATTCGAAATTGAATTCACGAGGAAATTAAAATATTATCCTAAGCGTCCTGTACTTAATCACTCAGTCTTTGTTCTTATTTTAAAGCGACAGACCGTGATTCACGACCATATAAAGCGACAGACAGAATTATGTAATCTTTTGTACACTTTAATCCTTACGTTTTTAGACATCAGACGGGGCGATAGGTTATGATCTCCAAGCATCCCCCAAATTTGATCTACTTTTTCCCTAATAGTGATGAAGTGACAGGAGACTGGAGAAAATTACATAATGAGTAACTCCATAATTGTACTCTTTACAAAAAAAAATATTAGGATGATAGCATCAGGGAGGGTGAGATGGGTAGGACACGTAGCGCGCATTAAGAGAAATATAAATGCGTAGAAGAGGTTTTTTAGAAGCTTGAGAGGAGGAGACTTCTTTTAAGACCTAGATGTAGATGGCAGGCTAATATTAAGATTAGTCTTCGGGTGTTATAATTAATTGAAGGGTGTGGATTGGATTAATCTGGCTGAGGTTAGAGACCAACGGTGGTGGGTTGTAACTAACACGGTAATGAACCTTCAAATTCTATAAGCCGCGGAAAATATCTTGACTAGCTCAGCTAATTAAGGAACACTCCGCTCCATGAAGTTGGTTGCCATGTTAATCCAGGATTCTGAATATAAGGCATATAAGTCTCTGTGTCGTAAAGTTGACTGGGGTTTTGTCTGTTGTCTTCTGATGTTACTTTCTCACAGTTTACAGTCTTCAGTCTTAAAGAGCCTTTGTGTAAGACAAGTCTGATTCGGGGAAGGTCTGTCTGTCGTTCCGTAAAATTAGACGAAGAATCGATTACTTGTAGGAAGGAATGTAAAACCACAAGAATATATTTCCCTTTAAAAGGACACATATTTTTCAGGTCCACCGTAATTTATCTATGAAGATATATTTTTTTCACATTTTTTTATCTTAAATAACTCATCAGAGTCTCATAAATTATTTAATGACACAAATTAATAGACACAGTTATTTCGTTTTGGGGCGCGTTAATAAGATGCAAATGGCGTCGGAAACTGAATTTATGAACGACGTCTGCGAAAAATTTCTTTAAGATCAGGAATTAAACCTCACTCACTCATCCACCGACTCGCGTTCCCAAGGTGACACTTAAAAAGCTTTGTGCAAG